CTGGCTTTTTAAGATTCTCCGAGTTAGCTAACTTGAGAAGGTCTGATATACAGTTTTCCCCTACTTACCTTACACTTCATTTAGTCAAGAGTAAAACTGATGTATATAGGGAAGGGAAAGATGTTGTCATTTCAAAAACAGGGAATATTACATGCCCGGTAGATGTACTTCAGCGTTATCTAAAGTTAGCTAACATTCCTGAAGAATCGAATGATTTTATTTTTAGATCTATTTGTTATTGTAAATCTTTGAATATATACAAACTTAGAAAGAGTAGTCATATTTCTTACACCAGAGCCAGAGAGTTATTGTTATCTGCACTTGACAGTTTAGGTCTTGATAAAAAACAGTTTGGCTTACATAGTTTGAGGTCAGGAGGAGCTACTGCCGCGGCAGAAGCTGGAATAGATGACCGGTTGTTTAAGAAACACGGGAGATGGAAAAGTGATAAAGCCAAAGATGGTTATGTTAAAGAGAGTATACTCAACAGATTGTCAGTATCTAAGAATTTAGGATTGTAATTTATATTGTTTGTCCCCCCTTTTTCTTTATGTCCCTTTCTTTATCAATCGAAGCTTTCTGTGCTGTCGGGGCGAGCTGATAACCAAAAACTGTGTTGAGTTTTTACTTTGTAAATGCTTTATGTTCGTTTGAAGTATTGAATAAGAACATAAATGTATTTATAAAGGTTACTCGGGAACACGTGTATTTGTTTACTTTTAACACGTGTGTTTAAATCAAAACATGTTTATGTTTAATTTGATTGGACCATCAGTAAGTTATTACCGGTTTAAGTTATATCAATCATGATAACTTCATGCTAGAATTTTAGCGCTAAAATTATAATAAGATATCTAGAATTGTCATTCGAGGTTCGCCTATCCGACAGAAAGGTTCGTTTTCCCACCCACCCACCCCTTTTATTAAGACTTCATAGGAATGTGAATCAGTATGTTATGTAGAAAATAGTTGATAAAATACATGTATGTAAATCGAAATGATTTTTTCTTCAACTTATAGAACATTTTTCTATTGTAGATTGTGTTTATATGTGATGGCAGCGGTCGATGACAGCAAATTGGACATTTGTTTATTGTTTATAATAAAATAAGCTTTCTGTGCTGTCGGGGCGAGCTGATAACCAAAAACTGTGTTGAGTTTTTACTTTGTAAATGCTTTATGTTCGTTTGAAGTATTGAATAAGAACATAAATGAATAATCGGTGCTTTAATAAAGTTTAATCCCAAAAAGCGCTCCGAACGCAAAAAATAAATTAAAGAGACACTTTTGTTTACATGCATATAGTCCACAACTACGCACACAGCTCACACGTTTACATCATACAGAGTGAATACTATAATAAAAATATGTATTATTTTATTTATCACTTTTACAACTGATGGAATGTTTTTATAAATAACCTTTTTTGATGGCTGCATTAAATTAAATGTGTCTTTTAGACACAACTAATTCAAATTGTATTGTATCGTCCTGATAATGCCTGAAATATTTGCTCCGGACAATTTGCAACCTCAAATCAATCAATTCAAACTACTTGAAAATCACAGTGTACTTAATCAAATTTTTAAAGCACTTTATCCTTGTATGAAAATAGGGTGCAGCATTACCTTTGTCTAGTTTGATAGGGTTAAGTTGAAGATATGTTTTTTTTTCTATGCTGAATGTGCACCCAGTTACATGTAGGTCGAAATAAAATCAAATCAGTAAAATTGATAAGAAATTTACGAAACTGGACAGGGGAAATGACAACAAAATAACAAACACCATTCAGATCCCATTACATATTTTTTCAATACCTCAGAGTAAAAATAACGTTACTCTACATTCAGTCACGACATCCCTTTTCTGTCAAAATCTTTGCATATCAGTCAATTTTGAAGCAATTTGTCTAAAAAAAAAAGGTTTTGATATGTGTTTGATTTGATTTATGTGTTGTTAACGCCATTTTTAAGTACCGCTTTTGAGCTATAATTTTAGTGGCGGCCAGTTTTGATTGGTGGAGGAAGCCGGAGTGCCCGGAGAAAACCACCGACCTTCGATAGGAAACGGACACTCTTAGTCAATTAAGATTGGAGTCGAGTGCACCCGCATGAGCGGGATTCGAAACTCACAACCTCAGTGTTGACTGGCTAGTGATTACAGTAGTAACTTCTTAGATCACTTGGCCACCGAGTCCCACTTTTGACATGTGTCTCTATACATATAAAAAAGAAGATGTGGTGTGATTGTCAATGAGACAACTCTTCACGAGAGACTTAATGACATAGAAATTAACAACTATGGATAATCGTATGGCCTTCAACAATGAGCAAAGCCCTTTCCGCATAGTCAGCTAACGGGAAAACTAACGGCCTTATTACTGTACAAATATGAACCAAAAACAAAAATGTAACACAGCAACAAACGACAACCACTGGATGACAGGCTCCTGACTAGGAACAGATACATGCATACAGAATGTGGTGGGTTAAACATATTAACGGGATCCCCAACTTCCCCTAACCTGGGAAAGTGGTGTAACAGTACAACATAAGAACGAACTATAAAAATCAGTTAAAAAGGCTTAACTCATCAGATGGATACAAATAGAAATACATATAACTATAAATTGCTTCGCCGAGCGCAGCTGGATACGACCACAGAGGTCCAACCCTGAACAGTTGGGGCAGAAATGGAAACAATATTCACGCTTGATACAGGTCTGAATTTGGATTGTAATTAAATATTTGACACATAATAGGTTTCTGACACAGAATAACTGTAGTCAAAGAACTTAGAATTGGTTATTTGATTTGAATTTATATTCAATTGTTTGCTATTGTGCAATACACTATGATGTTGCGAATAGACCCCCCCCCCTTTTTTTCCAAAAATACAAATTCTTTCCCTCAAGATGTGGTCATAATCTGAATTCAAATTTCCAATGGAATTTGCATCCATAATTACCCATTTAAATACATCATAAAAGTCATAAAATAGAAAATGACATACATAATCATGGCTAAAATTAATTAATAGTAACTTCTAAATATGAATTGACAGCTAATCACATCAAGACAATACAACATTTCTTTATACATAATTTAAAAGCAGTGTAACGGAGGTAATCCAAACATACACAACATTGTACTTTAAATGTGTTTGGATTATTTCCCTTACACTGCTTTTAAATTGTCCATTAACCAGGAAACCTTTTTTCCCCCTTTTTTGCCCCTAATTCCTAAACGGTTTGAGCCATAACCCCCCAAACCATTCTCCTTTATGGTATGGAAACTTGTGGTATAATTTCAGAGAGATTCATACACCGTTCCACAAGTTATTGTCTGGAAACTAGAAAAAATGCGTATTTGGGCCCTTTTTTAACGCCTAATTCCTAAACTGTTAAGACCATAACCCTCAAAATCAATCCCAACTTTCCTTTTGTGGTTATAAACCTTGTGTTGTAATTTTATAGATGTCTATTTACTCATACTAAAGTTATTGTCCAGAAACCAAATGTCTTCGGACAACGACGACGACGACGACGTGATACCAATATACGACCTCAAAATGTTTTGCGGTCGTATAAAAATATAGAATGTCTCCCTTTATCCTGTCCGCCCCTCATACATTAGTCATTATTTGACTTAAGTCTGAAAAGATGACCCAACTTTCCCTGTAATTTTTCCTCAATTTTTGAAACACGCATAATTTAAAGAGAATTTGCTTCCATTGAACACTATTCGACCCCCTCTACGCCCCATTTCCCTCCAAATTTGCTCTAAAGTAATACTCATAGTCCAACGGCTGTTTTGTGATTTTAACCTTTTAACTATTATTTTCATATTGAACACATCCAACCATTCAGCTTCCATGTATTTGCATCTTATATGAACGAGATGTTAGGTCATGTTTTCCTCTACACCTTATTGCTATTTGTCTGCTATTACTGGACATCACCCAGGTTCCTGTAAAATTTTGACGTCACAATACAAAATATCTGATGCCACAATTGAAAAATGATTGTTGCATGACATCAGTAGTTCAAGCAGGACAGATTATCCGTTCAGCTTTCATGTATTTGCATCTTATTTGAACGAGGTGTTAGTTTTATAACATTAAACATTTCAGCATCGTCGGAAAATGAAGCTTTGAGGGAAATATCTTCTCATTTAAATTATTTTGACATTGGAAACTGGACAAAAATATAGAATCTTATGATATTTCCATCAACCTAGATATACAGTATATCGCACATCCTTTTTTTTTTAATCAGTCGGAAAGAAACTGTCAGAATTAAAATTAAAACTTTGATTTCTAACCGATCTATTCATGTACCGGACCGGCAACTTTTTTTATTCAATAAGAAAATCTACAGTGCCGTTATACACATGCATGTTGATTGCTTGGAGTCCCCGCCCGAAAAGAAAGAAATGGTCCAACTCCAAGATACTATACTCCTGAATCACGTGATTTTTACTACGTGGAGCTTAAATTAGAATAAATACCGAATATGGAAAGTGAAACTACAATTCATAACATAAAGTCCGTTGGCAAATAGAAGAAAAAGAAGATTATTTTTGGCACAGGGTACCGGGGTAATCCTCTTTGTGTTCAAAATATACATGAAATATTTGCCACTGCCCCTTGTCTTGGTTCTATGAATGCTTACCCTGAGTTTTCTATCTGTTACATGCCAATAAATCCTCGCTTAAAATTCCGGTCGACCTCCTACGGCATCCATTAGTAGTTAAAGATTTGATTTCATTCAATAAATTAATGTATGACCCGCGTGTACGTCTCACTTTAAACACAGCCATATACCACATAGTCAAAATTAATCATCCATGTAATTTGCTCTATGGGATGTTTGCAAAATTTCAACGGAGGCAATTTCTTGGCATGGGAGAAAGGAAGAAAGACCATTCACAATTTGTCTTTTCTCTTTGTTTTTCTCTCTTTCAATTAAATAAAAAAAAAATAAACCTTTTATATGTAGAGTTCATAAGAAGGAAATATTCCCTGTGGAACACCACCACCCCCCTTTTTTGTGCTCTCTATTTTCAACCCTCTAATCTAATAAAAATTAAAACTTTGATTTCTAACCGATCCATTCATGTACCAGACCGGCAACTTTTTTTATTTAATAAGAAAATCTACAGTGCCGTTATACACATGCATGTTGATTGCTTGGAGTCCCCGCCCGAAAAGAAAGAAATAGTCTAACTCCAAGATACTATATTCCTGAATCACGTGATTTTTACTACGTGGAGCTTAAATTAGAATAAATACCGGATATGGAATGTGAAACTACAATTCATAACATAAAGTCCGTTGGCAAATAGAAGAAAAAGAAGATTATTTTTGGCAAAGGGTACCGGGGTAATCCTCTTTGAGTTCAAAATATACATGAAATATTTGCCACTGCCCCCTGTCTCGGTTCTATGAATGTTAACCCTGAATTTTCTATCTGATACATGCCAAGAAATCCTCGCTAAAAATTCCGGTCGACCTCCTACGGCATCCATTAGTAGTTAAAGATTTGATTTCATTCAATAAATTAATATATGACCCGCGTGTACGTCTCACTTAAAACACAGCCATATACCAAATGGTCAAAATTAATCATCCATGTAACTTGCTCTATGGGATGTTTGCAAAATTTCAACGGAGGCAATTTCTTGGCATGGGAGAAAGGAAGAAAGACCATTCACAATTTGTCTTACATTTGTTTTTCTCTCTTTCAATTAAATAAAAAAAATAAACCTTTCAGATGTAGAGTTCATAAGAAGGAAATATTCCCTGTGGAACACCCCCACCCCCCTTTTTTTGTGCTCTCTTTTTTCAACTCTCTAATCTAATTAAAATTAATTTGATTTCTAATTGATCTATTCATGTAGCGGAACGGCCACTTTTTTTATTTAATAAGAAAATCTACAGTGCCGTTATACACATGCATGTTGATTGCTTGGAGTCCCCGCCCGAAAAGAAAGAAAAAGTCTAACTCCAAGATACTATATTCCTGAATCACGTGATTTTTACTACGTAGAGCTTAAATTACAATAAATACCGAATATGGAAAATGAAACTGCAATTCATAACATAAAGTCCGTTGGCAAATAGAAGAAAAAGAAGATTATTTTTGGCAAAGCGTAGCGGGGTAATCCTCTTTGTGTTCAAAATATACATGAAATATTTGCCACTGCCCCTTGTCTCGGTTCTATGAATGTTTACCCTGAGTTTTCTATCTGTTACATGCCAAGAAATCCTCGCTAAAAATTCTTGTCGACCTCCTACGGCATCCATTAGTAGTTAAAGATTTGATTTCATTCAATAAAATAATTTATGACCCGCGTGTACGTTCCACTTAAAACACAGCCATATACCAAATGGTCAAAATTAATCATCCATGTAATTTGCTCTATGGGATGTTTGCAAAATTTCAACAGAGGCAATTTCTTGGCATGGGAGAAAGGAAGAAAGACAATTCACAATTTGTCTTACATTTGTTTTTCTCTCTTTCAATTAAATTAAAAAAAAATAAACCTTTCAGATGTAGAGTTCATAAGAAGGAAATATTACCTGTGGAACACCCCCACCCCCCTTTTTTTTGCGCTCTCTATTTTAAACCTCTAATCTAATTAAAATTAAAACTTTGATTTCTAACCGATCTTTTCATGTACCGGACCGGCAACTTTTTTAATTTAATAAGAAAATCTACAGTGCCGTTATACACATGCATGTTGATTGCTTGGAGTCCCCGCCCGAAAAGAAAGAAATAGTCTAACTCCAAGATACTATATTCCTGAATCACGTGATTTTTACTACATGGAGCTTAAATTAGAATAAATACCGAATATGGAAAGTGAAACTACAATTCACAACATAAAGTCCGTTGGCAAATAGAAGAAAAAGAAGATTATTTTTGGCAAAGGGTACCGGGGTAATCCTCTTTGTGTTCAAAATATACATGAAATATTTGCCACTGCCCCTTGTCTCGGTTCTATGAATGTTTACCCTGAGTTTTCTATCTGTTACATGCCAAGAAATCCTCGCTAAAAATTCCGGTCGACCTCCTACGGCATCCATTAGTAGTTAAAGATTTGATTTCATTCAATAAATTAATTTATGACCCGCGTGTACGTTTCACTTAAAACACAGCCATATACCAAATGGTCAAAATTAATCATCCATGTAATTTGCTCTATGGGATGTTTGCAAAATTTCAACGGAGGCAATTTCTTGGCATGGGAGAAAGGAAGAAAGACCATTCACAATTTGTCTTACATTTGTTTTTCTCTCTTTCAATTAAATAAAAAAAAAATAAACATTTCAGATGTAGAGTTCATAAGAAGGAAATATTACCTGTGGAACACCCCCACCCCCCTTTTTTTGTGCTCTCTATTTTAAACCTCTAATCTAATTAAAATTAAAACTTTGATTTCTAACCGATCTTTTCATGTACCGGACCGGCAACTTTTTTAATTTAATAAGAAAATCTACAGTGCCGTTATACACATGCATGTTGATTGCTTGGAGTCCCCGCCCGAAAAGAAAGAAATAGTCTAACTCCAAGATACTATATTCCTGAATGACGTGATTTTTACTACGTGGAACTTAAATTAGAATAAATACCGAATATGGAAAGTGAAACTACAATTCATAACATAAAGTCCGTTGGCAAATAGAAGAAAAAGAAGATTATTTTTGGCAAAGGGTAGCGGGGTAATCCTCTTTGTGTTCAAAATATACATGAAATATTTGCCACTGCCCCTTGTCTCGGTTCTATGAATGTTTACCCTGAGTTTTCTATATGTTACATGCCAAGAAATCCTCGCTAAAAATTCCGGTCGACCTCCTACGGCATCCAATAGTAGTTAAAGATTTGATTTCATTCAATAAATTAATTTATGACCCGCGTGTACGTTTCACTTAAAACACAGCCATATACCAAATGGTCAAAATTAATCATCCATGTAATTTGCTCTATGGGATGTTTGCAAAATTCCAACGGAGGCAATTTCTTGGCATGGGAGAAAGGAAGAAAGACCATTCACAATTTGTCTTACATTTGTTTTTCTCTCTTTCAATTAAATAAAAAAAAATAAACTTTTCAGATGTAGAGTTCATAAGAAGGAAATATTACCTGTGGAACACCCCCACCCCCCTTTTTTTGTGCTCTCTATTTTAAACCTCTAATCTAATTAAAATTAAAACTTTGATTTCTAACCGATCTTTTCATGTACCGGACCGGCAACTTTTTTAATTTAATAAGAAAATCTACAGTGCCGTTATACACATGCATGTTGATTGCTTGGAGTCCCCGCCCGAAAAGAAAGAAATAGTCTAACTCCAAGATACTATATTCCTGAATGACGTGATTTTTACTACGTGGAACTTAAATTAGAATAAATACCGAATATGGAAAGTGAAACTACAATTCATAACATAAAGTCCGTTGGCAAATAGAAGAAAAAGAAGATTATTTTTGGCAAAGGGTAGCGGGGTAATCCTCTTTGTGTTCAAAATATACATGAAATATTTGCCACTGCCCCTTGTCTCGGTTCTATGAATGTTTACCCTGAGTTTTCTATATGTTACATGCCAAGAAATCCTCGCTAAAAATTCCGGTCGACCTCCTACGGCATCCAATAGTAGTTAAAGATTTGATTTCATTCAATAAATTAATTTATGACCCGCGTGTACGTTTCACTTAAAACACAGCCATATACCAAATGGTCAAAATTAATCATCCATGTAATTTGCTCTATGGGATGTTTCCAAATTCCAACGGAGGCAATTTCTTGGCATGGGAGAAAGGAAGAAAGACCATTCACAATTTGTCTTACATTTGTTTTTCTCTCTTTCAATTAAATAAAAAAAAATAAACTTTTCAGATGTAGAGTTCATAAGAAGGAAATATTACCTGTGGAACACCCCCACCCCCCTTTTTTTGTGCTCTCTATTTTAAACCTCTAATCTAATTAAAATTAAAACTTTGATTTCTAACCGATCTTTTCATGTACCGGAACGGCCACTTTTTTTATTTAATAAGAAAATCTACAGTGCCGTTATACACATGCATGTTGATTGCTTGGAGTCCCCGCCCGAAAAGAAAGAAAAAGTCTAACTCCAAGATACTATATTCCTGAATCACGTGATTTTTACTACGTAGAGCTTAAATTACAATAAATACCGAATATGGAAAATGAAACTGCAATTCATAACATAAAGTCCGTTGGCAAATAGAAGAAAAAGAAGATTATTTTTGGCAAAGCGTAGCGGGGTAATCCTCTTTGTGTTCAAAATATACATGAAATATTTGCCACTGCCCCTTGTCTCGGTTCTATGAATGTTTACCCTGAGTTTTCTATCTGTTACATGCCAAGAAATCCTCGCTAAAAATTCTTGTCGACCTCCTACGGCATCCATTAGTAGTTAAAGATTTGATTTCATTCAATAAAATAATTTATGACCCGCGTGTACGTTCCACTTAAAACACAGCCATATACCAAATGGTCAAAATTAATCATCCATGTAATTTGCTCTATGGGATGTTTGCAAAATTTCAACAGAGGCAATTTCTTGGCATGGGAGAAAGGAAGAAAGACAATTCACAATTTGTCTTACATTTGTTTTTCTCTCTTTCAATTAAATTAAAAAAAAATAAACCTTTCAGATGTAGAGTTCATAAGAAGGAAATATTACCTGTGGAACACCCCCACCCCCCTTTTTTTTGCGCTCTCTATTTTAAACCTCTAATCTAATTAAAATTAAAACTTTGATTTCTAACCGATCTTTTCATGTACCGGACCGGCAACTTTTTTAATTTAATAAGAAAATCTACAGTGCCGTTATACACATGCATGTTGATTGCTTGGAGTCCCCGCCCGAAAAGAAAGAAATAGTCTAACTCCAAGATACTATATTCCTGAATCACGTGATTTTTACTACATGGAGCTTAAATTAGAATAAATACCGAATATGGAAAGTGAAACTACAATTCACAACATAAAGTCCGTTGGCAAATAGAAGAAAAAGAAGATTATTTTTGGCAAAGGGTACCGGGGTAATCCTCTTTGTGTTCAAAATATACATGAAATATTTGCCACTGCCCCTTGTCTCGGTTCTATGAATGTTTACCCTGAGTTTTCTATCTGTTACATGCCAAGAAATCCTCGCTAAAAATTCCGGTCGACCTCCTACGGCATCCATTAGTAGTTAAAGATTTGATTTCATTCAATAAACTAATTTATGACCCGCGTGTACGTTTCACTTAAAACACAGCCATATACCAAATGGTCAAAATTAATCATCCATGTAATTTGCTCTATGGGATGTTTGCAAAATTTCAACGGAGGCAATTTCTTGGCATGGGAGAAAGGAAGAAAGACCATTCACAATTTGTCTTACATTTGTTTTTCTCTCTTTCAATTAAATAAAAAAAAAATAAACATTTCAGATGTAGAGTTCATAAGAAGGAAATATTACCTGTGGAACACCCCCACCCCCCTTTTTTTGTGCTCTCTATTTTAAACCTCTAATCTAATTAAAATTAAAACTTTGATTTCTAACCGATCTTTTCATGTACCGGACCGGCAACTTTTTTAATTTAATAAGAAAATCTACAGTGCCGTTATACACATGCATGTTGATTGCTTGGAGTCCCCGCCCGAAAAGAAAGAAATAGTCTAACTCCAAGATACTATATTCCTGAATGACGTGATTTTTACTACGTGGAACTTAAATTAGAATAAATACCGAATATGGAAAGTGAAACTACAATTCATAACATAAAGTCCGTTGGCAAATAGAAGAAAAAGAAGATTATTTTTGGCAAAGGGTAGCGGGGTAATCCTCTTTGTGTTCAAAATATACATGAAATATTTGCCACTGCCCCTTGTCTCGGTTCTATGAATGTTTACCCTGAGTTTTCTATATGTTACATGCCAAGAAATCCTCGCTAAAAATTCCGGTCGACCTCCTACGGCATCCAATAGTAGTTAAAGATTTGATTTCATTCAATAAATTAATTTATGACCCGCGTGTACGTTTCACTTAAAACACAGCCATATACCAAATGGTCAAAATTAATCATCCATGTAATTTGCTCTATGGGATGTTTGCAAAATTCCAACGGAGGCAATTTCTTGGCATGGGAGAAAGGAAGAAAGACCATTCACAATTTGTCTTACATTTGTTTTTCTCTCTTTCAATTAAATAAAAAAAAATAAACTTTTCAGATGTAGAGTTCATAAGAAGGAAATATTACCTGTGGAACACCCCCACCCCCCTTTTTTTGTGCTCTCTATTTTAAACCTCTAATCTAATTAAAATTAAAACTTTGATTTCTAACCGATCTTTTCATGTACCGGACCGGCAACTTTTTTAATTTAATAAGAAAATCTACAGTGCCGTTATACACATGCATGTTGATTGCTTGGAGTCCCCGCCCGAAAAGAAAGAAATAGTCTAACTCCAAGATACTATATTCCTGAATCACGTGATTTTTACTACATGGAGCTTAAATTAGAATAAATACCGAATATGGAAAGTGAAACTACAATTCATAACAAAAAGTCCGTTGGCAAATAGAAGAAAAAGAAGATTATTTTTGGCAAAGGGTACCGGGGTAATCCTCTTTGTGTTCAAAATATACATGAAATATTTGCCACTGCCCCTTGTCTCGGTTCTATGAATGTTTACCCTGAGTTTTCTATCTATTACATGCCTAGAAATCCTCGCTAAAAATTCCGGTCGACCTCCTACGGCATCCATTAGTAGTTAAAGATTTGATTTCTTTCAATAAATAAATGTATGACCCGCGTGTACGTCTCACTTAAAACACAGCCATATACCAAATGGTCAAAATTAATCATCCATGTAATTTGCTCTATGGGATGTTTGCAAAATTTCAACGGAGGCAATTTCTTAGCATGGGAGAAAGGAAGACACAATTTGTCTTACATTTGTTTTTCTCTCTTTCAATTAAATAAAAAAAAAAAAAAACCTTTCAGATGTAGAGTTCATAAGAAGGAAATATTACCTGTGGAACACCCCCACCCCCCTTTTTTTTGTGCTCTGTATTTTCAACCCTCTAATCTAATTAAAATTAAAACTTTGATTTCTAACCGATCTTTTCATGTACCGGAACGGCAACATTTTTTATTTAATAAGAAAATCTACAGTGCCGTTATACACATGCATGTTGATTGCTTGGAGTCCCCGCCCGAAAAGAAAGAAATAGTCTAACTCCAAGATACTATATTCCTGAATCACGTGATTTTTAATACGTGGAGCTTAAATTCGAATAAATACCGAATATGGAAAGTGAAACTACAATTCATAACATAAAGTCCGTTGGCAAATAGAAGAAAAAGAAGATTATTTTTGGCAAAGGGTAGCGGGGTAATCCTCTTTGTGTTCAAAATATACATGAAATATTTGCCACTGCCCCTTGTCTCGGTTCTATGAATGTTTACCCTAAGTTTTCTATCTGTTACATGCCAAGAAATTCTCGCTAAAAATTCCGGTCGACCTCCTACGGCATCCATTAGTAGTTAAAGATTTAATTTCATTCAATAAATTAATTTATGACCCGCGTGTACGTCTCACTTAAAACACAGCCATATACCAAATGGTCAAAATTAATCATCCATGTAATTTGCTCTACGGGATGTTTGCAAAATTTCAACGGAGGCAATTTCTTAGCATGGGAGAAAGGAAGACACAATTTGTCTTACATTTGTTTTTCTCTCTTTCAATTAAATAAAAAAAAAATAAACCTTTCAGATGTAGAGTTCATAAGAAGGAAATATTACCTGTGGAACACCCCCACCCCCCCCTTTTTTTTGTGCTCTGTATTTTCAACCCTCTAATCTAATTAAAATTAAAACTTTGATTTCTAACCGATCTTTTCATGTACCGGAACGGCAACATTTTTTATTTGATAAGAAAATCTACAGTGCCGTTATACACATGCATGTTGATTGCTTGGAGTCCCCGCCCGAAAAGAAAGAAATAGTCTAACTCCAAGATACTATATTCCTGAATCACGTGATTTTTACTACATGGAGCTTAAATTAGAATAAATACCGAATATGGAAAGTGAAACTACAATTCATAACAAAAAGTCCGTTGGCAAATAGAAGAAAAAGAAGATTATTTTTGGCAAAGGGTACCGGGGTAATCCTCTTTGTGTTCAAAATATACATGAAATATTTGCCACTGCCCCTTGTCTCGGTTCTATGAATGTTTACCCTGAGTTTTCTATCTATTACATGCCTAGAAATCCTCGCTAAAAATTCCGGTCGACCTCCTACGGCATCCATTAGTAGTTAAAGATTTGATTTCTTTCAATAAATAAATTTATGACCCGCGTGTACGTCTCACTTAAAACACAGCCATATACCAAATGGTCAAAATTAATCATCCATGTAATTTGCTCTATGGGATGTTTGCAAAATTTCAACGGAGGCAATTTCTTAGCATGGGAGAAAGGAAGACACAATTTGTCTTACATTTGTTTTTCTCTCTTTCAATTAAATAAAAAAAAAAATAAACCTTTCAGATGTAGAGTTCATAAGAAGGAAATATTACCTGTGGAACACCCCCACCCCCCTTTTTTTTTGTGCTCTGTATTTTCAACCCTCTAATCTAATTAAAATTAAAACTTTGATTTCTAACCGATCTTTTCATGTACCGGAACGGCAACATTTTTTATTTAATAAGAAAATCTACAGTGCCGTTATACACATGCATGTTGATTGCTTGGAGTCCCCGCCCGAAAAGAAAGAAATAGTCTAACTCCAAGATACTATATTCCTGAATCACGTGATTTTTAATACGTGGAGCTTAAATTCGAATAAATACCGAATATGGAAAGTGAAACTACAATTCATAACATAAAGTCCGTTGGCAAATAGAAGAAAAAGAAGATTATTTTTGGCAAAGGGTAGCGGGGTAATCCTCTTTGTGTTCAAAATATACATGAAATATTTGCCACTGCCCCTTGTCTCGGTTCTATGAATGTTTACCCTAAGTTTTCTATCTGTTACATGCCAAGAAATTCTCGCTAAAAATTCCGGTCGACCTCCTACGGCATCCATTAGTAGTTAAAGATTTAATTTCATTCAATAAATTAATTTATGACCCGCGTGTACGTCTCACTTAAAACACAGCCATATACCAAATGGTCAAAATTAATCATCCATGTAATTTGCTCTACGGGATGTTTGCAAAATTTCAACGGACGCAATTTCTTGGCATGGGAGAAAGGAAGAAAGACCATTCTCAATTTGTCGTACATTTGTTTTTCTCTCTTTCAATTAAATAAAAAAAAAATTAAACCTTTCAGATGTAGAGTTCATAAGAAGGAAATATTACCTGTGGAACACCCCCATCCCCCCCCCCCCCCCCCCCAAACCCTTTTTTCTGCTCTCTATTTTCAACCCTCTCATCTATATGAAATTAAAACTTTGATTTCTAACCGATCTATTCATGTACCGGACCGGAAACTTTTTTATTTGATAAGAAAATCTACAGTGCCGTTATACACATACATGTTGATTGCTTGGAGTCCCCGCCCGAGAAGAAAGAAATAGTCTAATTCCAAGATACTATATTCCTGAATCACGTGATTTTTTACTACATGGAGCTTAAATTCGAATAAGTACCGAATATGGAAAGTGAAACTACAATTCATAACATAAAGTCCGTTGGCAAATAGAAAAAAAAAGAAGATTATTTTTGGCAAAGGGTACCGGGGTAATCCTCTTTGTGTTCAAAATATACATGAAATATTTGCCACTGCCCCTTGTCTCGGTTCTATGAATGTTTACCCTGAGTTTTCTATCTGTTACATGCCAAGAAATCCTCGCTAAAAATTCCGGTCGACCTCCTACGGCATCCATTAGTAGTTAAAGATTTGATTTCATTCAATAAATTAATTTATGACCCGCGTGTACGTCTCACTTAAAACACAGCCATATACCAAATGGTCAAAATTAATCATCCATGTAATTTGCTCTATGGGATGTTTGCAAAATTTCAACGGAGGCAATTTCTTGGCATGGGAGAAAGGAAGAAAGACCATTCACAATTTGTCTTACATTTGTTTTTCTCTCTTTCAATTAAATAAAAAAAAAAATAAACCTTTCAGATGTAGAGTTCATAAGAAGGAAATATTACCTGTGGAACACCCCCACCCCCCTTTTTTTGTGCTCTCTGTTTTCAACCCTCTAATCTAATTAAAATTAAAACTTTGATTTCTAACCGATCTTTTCATGTACCGGACCGGCAACTTTTTTTATTTAATAAGAAAATCTACAGTGCCGTTATACACATGCATGTTGATTGTTTGGAGTCCCCGCCCGAAAAGAAAGAAATAGTCTAACTCCAAGATACTATATTCCTGAATCATGTGATTTTTACTACGTGGAGCTTAAATTCGAATAAATACCGAATATGGAAAGTGAAACTACAATTCATAACATAAAGTCCGTTGGCAAATAGAAGAAAAAGAAAATTATTTTTGGCAAAGGGTACCGGGGTAATCCTCTTTGTGTTCAAAATATACATGAAATATTTGCCACTGCCCCTTGTCTCGGTTCTATCAATGTTTACCCTGAGTTTTCTATCTGTTACTGGAGAAAGGAAGAAAGACCACTCACAATTTGTCTTACATTTGTTTTTCTCTCTTTCAATTAAATAAAAAAAAAATTAAACCCTTCAGATGTAGAGTTCATAAGAAGGAAATATTACCTGTGGAGCACCCCCATCCCCCACTCCCCTCCCTTTTTGTTGTGCTCTCTTTTTTCAACCCTCTAGTCTAATTAAAATTAAAACTTTGATTTCTAACCGATCTTTTCATGTACCGGACCGGCAACTTTTTTTATTTAATAAGAAAATCTACAGTGCCGTTATACACATGCATGTTGATTGCTTGGAGTCCCCGCCCGAAAAGAAAGAAATAGTCTAACTCCAAGATACTATATTCCTGAATCACGTGATTTTTACTACGTGGAGCTTAAATTAGAATAAATACCGAATATGGAAAGTGAAACTACAATTCATAACATAAAACCGTTGGCAAATAGAAGAAAAAGAAGATTATTTTTGGCAAATGGTACCGGGTAATCCTCTTTGTGTTCAAAATATACATGAAATATTTGCCACTGCCCCTTGTCTCGGTTCTATGAATGTTTACCCTGAGTTTTCTATCTGTTACATGCCAAGAAATCCACGTTAAAAATTCCGGTCGACCTCCTACGGCATCCATTAGTAGTTAAAGATTTGATTTCATTCAATAAATTAATTTATGACCCGCGTGTACGTCTCACTTAAAACACAGCCATATACCAAATGGTCAAAATTAATCATCCATGTAATTTGCTCTATGGGATGTTTGCAAAATTTCAACGGAGGCAATTTCTTGGCATGGGAGAAAGGAAGAAAGACCATTCACAATTTGTCTTACATTTGTTTTTCTCTCTTTCAATTAAATAAAAAAAAAATAAACCTTTCAGATGTAGAGTTCATAAGAAGGAAATATTACCTGTGGAACACCCCCACCCCCTTTTTTTGTGCTCTCTATTTTAAACCTCTAATCTAATTAAAATTAAAACTTTGATTTCTAACCGATCTTTTCATGTACCGGACCGGCAACTTTTTTAATTTAATAAGAAAATCTACAGTGCCGTTATACACATGCATGTTGATTGCTTGGAGTCCCCGCCCGAAAAGAAAGAAATAGTCTAACTCCAAGATACTATATTCCTGAATCACGTGATTTTTACTACATGGAGCTTAAATTAGAATAAATACCGAATATGGAAAGTGAAACTACAATTCATAACAAAAAGTCCGTTGGCAAATAGAAGAAAAAGAAGATTATTTTTGGCAAAGGGTAGCGGGGTAATCCTCTTTGTGTTCAAAATATACATGAAATATTTGCCACTGCCCCTTGTCTCGGTTCTATGAATGTTTACCCTGAGTTTTCTATCTGTTACATGCCAAGAAATCCTCGCTAAAAATTCCGGTCGACCTCCTACGGCATCCATTAGTAGTTAAAGATTTGATTTCATTCAATAAATTAATTTATGATCCGCGTGTACGTTTCACTTAAAACACAGCCATATACCAAATGGTCAAAATTCATCATCCATGTAATTTGCTCTTTGGGATGTTTGCAAAATTTCAACGGAGGCAATTTCTTGGCATGGGAGAAAGGAAGAAAGACCATTCACAATTTGTCTTACATTTGTTTTTCTCTCTTTCAATTAAATAAAAAAAAAATAAACCTTTCAGATGTAGAGTTCATAAGAAGGAAATATTACCTGTGGAACACCCCCACCCCCCTTTTTTTCTGCTCTCTATTTTAAACCTCTAATCTAATTAAAATTAAAACTTTGATTTCTAACCGATCTTTTCATGTACCGGACCGGCAACTTTTTTAATTTAATAAGAAAATCTAGTGCCGTTATACACATGCATGTTGATTGCTTGGAGTCCCCGCCCGAAAAGAAAGAAATAGTCTAACTCCAAGATACTATATTCCTGAATCACGTGATTTTTACTACATGGAGCTTAAATTAGAATAAATACCGAATATGGAAAGTGAAACTACAATTCATAACAAAAAGTCCGTTGGCAAATAGAAGAAAAAGAAGATTATTTTTGGCAAAGGGTACCGGGGTAATCCTCTTTGTGTTCAAAATATACATGAAATATTTGCCACTGCCCCTTGTCTCGGTTCTATGAATGTTTACCCTGAGTTTTCTATCTGTTACATGCCTAGAAATCCTCGCTAAAAATTCCGGTCGACCTCCTACGGCATCCATTAGTAGTTAAAGATTTGATTTCTTTCAATAAATAAATTTATGACCCGCGTGTACGTCTCACTTAAAACACAGCCATATACCAAATGGTCAAAATTAATCATCCATGTAATTTGCTCTATGGGATGTTTGCAAAATTTCAACGGAGGCAATTTCTTAGCATGGGAGAAAGGAAGACACAATTTGTCTTACATTTGTTTTTCTCTCTTTCAATTAAATAAAAAAAAAAAATAAACCTTTCAGATGTAGAGTTCATAAGAAGGAAATATTACCTGTGGAACACCCCCACCCCCCTTTTTTTTGTGCTCTGTATTTTCAACCCTCTAATCTAATTAAAATGAAAACTTTGATTTTTTAACCGATCTTTTCATGTACCGGACCGGCAACTTTTTTAATTTAATAAGAAAATCTACAGTGCCGTTATACACATGCATGTTGATTGCTTGGAGTCCCCGCCCGAAAAGAAAGAAATAGTCTAACTCCAAGATACTATATTCCTGAATCACGTGATTTTTAATACGTGGAGCTTAAATTCGAATAAATACCGAATATGGAAAGTGAAACTACAATTCATAACATAAAGTCCGTTGGCAAATAGAAGAAAAAGAAGATTATTTTTGGCAAAGGGTACCGGGGTAATCCTCTTTGTGTTCAAAATATACATGAAATATTTGCCACTGCCCCTTGTCTCGGTTCTATGAATGTTTACCCTGAGTTTTCTATCTGTTACATGCCAAGAAATTCTCGCTAAAAATTCCGGTCGACCTCCTACGGCATCCATTAGTAGTTAAAGATTTAATTTCATTCAATAAATTAATTTATGACCCGCGTGTACGTCTCACTTAAAACACAGCCATATACCAAATGGTCAAAATTAATCATCCATGTAATTTGCTCTACGGGATGTTTGCAAAATTTCAACGGACGCAATTTCTTGGCATGGGAGAAAGGAAGAAAGACCATTCTCAATTTGTCGTACATTTGTTTTTCTCTCTTTCAATTAAATAAAAAAAAAATTAAACCTTTCAGATGTAGAGTTCATAAGAAGGAAATATTACCTGTGGAACACCCCCATCCCCCCCCCCCCCCCCCCCCCCCAACCCTTTTTTCTGCTCTCTATTTTCAACCCTCTCATCTATATGAAATTAAAACTTTGATTTCTAACCGATCTATTCATGTACCGGACCGGAAACTTTTTTATTTGATAAGAAAATCTACAGTGCCGTTATACACATACATGTTGATTGCTTGGAGTCCCCGCCCGAGAAGAAAGAAATAGTCTAATTCCAAGATACTATATTCCTGAATCACGTGATTTTTTACTACATGGAGCTTAAATTCGAATAAGTACCGAATATGGAAAGTGAAACTACAATTCATAACATAAAGTCCGTTGGCAAATAGAAAAAAAAAGAAGATTATTTTTGGCAAAGGGTACCGGGGTAATCCTCTTTGTGTTCAAAATATACATGAAATATTTGCCACTGCCCCTTGTCTCGGTTCTATGAATGTTTACCCTGAGTTTTCTATCTGTTACATGCCAAGAAATCCTCGCTAAAAATTCCGGTCGACCTCCTACGGCATCCATTAGTAGTTAAAGATTTGATTTCATTCAATAAATTAATTTATGACCCGCGTGTACGTCTCACTTAAAACACAGCCATATACCAAATGGTCAAAATTAATCATCCATGTAATTTGCTCTATGGGATGTTTGCAAAATTTCAACGGAGGCAATTTCTTGGCATGGGAGAAAGGAAGAAAGACCATTCACAATTTGTCTTACATTTGTTTTTCTCTCTTTCAATTAAATAAAAAAAAAAATAAACCTTTGAGATGTAGAGTTCATAAGAAGGAAATATTACCTGCGGAACACCCCCACCCCCCTTTTTTTTGTGCTCTCTGTTTTCAACCCTCTAATCTAATTAAAATTAAAACTTTGATTTCTAACCGATCTTTTCATGTACCGGACCGGCAACTTTTTTTATTTAATAAGAAAATCTACAGTGCCAATATACACATGCATGTTGATTGTTTGGAGTCCCCGCCCGAAAAGAAAGAAATAGTCTAACTCCAAGATACTATATTCCTGAATCATGTGATTTTTACTACGTGGAGCTTAAATTCGAATAAATACCGAATATGGAAAGTGAAACTACAATTCATAACATAAAGTCCGTTGGCAAATAGAAGAAAAAGAAAATTATTTTTGGCAAAGGGTACCGGGGTAATCCTCTTTGTGTTCAAAATATACATGAAATATTTGCCACTGCCCCTTGTCTCGGTTCTATGAATGTTTACCCTGAGTTTTCTATCTGTTACATGCCAAGAAATCCACGTTAAAAATTCCGGTCGACCTCCTACGGCATCCATTAGTAGTTAAAGATTTGATTTCATTCAATAAATTAATTTATGACCCGCGTGTACGTCTCACTTAAAACACAGCCATATACCAAATGGTCAAAATTAATCATCCATGTAATTTGCTCTATGGGATGTTTGCAAAATTTCAACGGAGGCAATTTCTTGGCATGGGAGAAAGGAAGAAAGACCATTCACAATTTGTCTTACATTTGTTTTTCTCTCTTTCAATTAAAAAAAATAATAAACCTTTCAGATGTAGAGTTCACAAGAAGGAAATATTACCTGTGGACCCCCCCCCCCCCTTTTTTTGTGCTCTCTATTTTTAACCCTCTAATCTAATTAAAATTAAAACTTTGATTTCTAACCGATCTTTTCATGTACCGGAACGGCAACTTTTTTTATTTAATAAGAAAATCTACAGTGCCGTTATACACATGCATGTTGATTGCTTGGAGTCCCCGCCCGAAAAGAAAGAAATAGTCTAACACCAAGATACTATATTCCTGAATCACGTGATTTTTACTACATGGAGCTTAAATTAGAATAAATACCGAATATGGAAAGTGAAACTACAATTCATAACATAAAGTCCGTTGGCAAATAGAAGAAAAAGAAGATTATTTTTGGCAAAGACTGCCGACGGTCATGTAACCTGATATAAACATAAATACAGATATAAATAGATAGCAAACACGTGCAATTGGATTTTTCTTGGTCTGTTTGATTTCATATTGTAGGTTAAAAAAATATGTTAATTATTGTTTTTTCCTGTATAAGAATGAGTTTTTGTTGATCGAATCAGTCAACCAAATGGTTTACTTTTGTTTCACTTTTTGAGTTTCAATGTTGACATTCTTTTCCTTTTATTAGCTGAACATGCCTAGTTTATGCCTAATCAATCTCTAGCTAAGGGGTTTTATTGAAGGTCACATAAAAATGGATTTAATGAGGTCGAATTATTCACTTGCAAGTGAATAATTAATCAGCGATGTTTCTTAGCTTATTATGACAAAATTGAACCAAACTGGCTGCTAAAAGCGAATTATCATTTCACTATTTCACTTTCATTAATGATTGAACAAAATAGAAAAGTATTTTTTTCCATATCTCGTAGCTCATACCCCTTTAAAGCTGATATTTTCATTTCTTGCTTTTTTTTTTTTATTTTGAGCTTGTGACAGCTTGATAATATAAGTTGAAAATAGCAAATAGCAAAATGAATGAAAAAAGAAAATACGAAAAAATGAAAGAAAATGTAAATATCGCCACACAAGGTTTGTGTTTTAGGACTAGGATCTAGCAAAAAACGGAACATAAATTAAGATGTAAAATGAATCTACCCATGGGATTGCAATTTCATAAAAATATCTCCAAATACATGTAGGGTAT